CGTTGCTAGGCTATACGCCACGTCACAGTAGTGACGTGGCGGGCAACGTTTTCTTAATCTTTAATATCCACGAGACAGTTACTTTTCTGCCTTAAAACCTCTCTTCTGTTGCGTAACAGTGGACAATGGAAAATACCGATACCTACTTCTACATTCTTCATTTAATATACACTGTAGAACTCCATAAACTTAAGGTTTACTTGCAGGTTCGTTTCAACTTCATCTCATTGTTCATAGGGTTTCATGTTTCAAATACTTTCGATATGGAACGACATATTTAATTCTTAAGTAAATGATAACAAAGAAAATTTATTATATTCCAGAATTTATAATGTTAATTTTTAGTTTTAACTTCTGTAAGATAACAGTAGCCGGTCACCGTAGCTGAGCGGTCTTTCCTCGCTCGGAAAGCCGGGATCGTGGGTTCGAATCCCACTCAGGGCATGGATGTTTGGTGTTTGTGTGTGTGCGTTTTTGTGTTTGTGTGCCTTGCGACGGACTGATCACCCGCCCAAGGATTCCTACCGAATGTTTAAGTTCTAGTAAAGCGAAGTGAAACGGAGAGTTTCATGGAGGTAGGCCAAGGCCCAAATTGGGGCTGTACCGCCAAAGGGGGAGGGGGAAGATAACAGCCTGGAAATTATGTCATGTAAATAAATCCTTGATATGGTCTTGCAATGAAAATATGCTTAATTCATCAGAAAATACTCAATACATTTCATTAAGATTAATTTATGTTTGTGATTGCTAAATAATATTTTAATTGGGGTCCTCAAACTCTGATATTTAAATCAATGGAGCCTCAAAATAAGAAGGTTCTGGACGTCCAAAAATCCCATTATATAAATGTAAGTGTTTAAACATAATGATACGCACATTATATTCGACTCTTAAGATGAAGGAAGCATGTAATGCCGAAACGTCGTCAACACCGCCCCCCTCAACAAGATACAAAGGCCGAAGAGAAGAATCATCATAAACAATTAACCGCCGTGAAATTTTAAGATCGCCAAAAACGCGGAAGTGTATTCAATATCGCATTCTTCGTGCCTTAATTTAAAATTTAGAATTTGTTTCGGATGTACGTTATCTGGTCTTCACTGCATCCCACCGCGATTTTCCTCACGAGACACCCAACAACACATCATACTGGCAAAAGTAATGATTCCCGATATTTACTTTGCTCAAAATATGTTGTTTTCGATATTTTGAATGTTTGCCTATTGGTAAAGAGAAATGTAAAAAGAACCTCTAATCTCACTTTTTCACAACGCAGTACCAACGCATTTCATTTTAGGAAAAAAAAAAAAAAGAATGTTTCTTTATTCAGAGTTTAATAGGAAAGAAGGCTCTGGAACGTCGTGGGGCTCCCCCGTGTGGAGGCCGGTTAGAATACCTGCATAGTGGCCTTGCGAGTCGTAGAAGGCGTCGAAAAGGGAACCCACTGCCTGGGGGTATAACTGGGCCACCCTGTTCCTTGGGGGATACAAATACAAGGACCTGGTCCTCCAGGTTAGGTGTTTGACGCAAGGCTCACGAAATATCTCTGTAAAAATTATTGTAGCGAAATCCAAAGAAGTGAAAACAGGATGCAACGTGTATAAAACACAAATCATTCTGTACAACCAATTATAGTATATAATTTTTTTATTTTTATAGTTTATTAAGTTTATTCCTGATATTTTTTAAAAAAATTGAAAATTTATTGACGATTTACGGCCTGGGCCACTGGCAGCGTCATTACATAAACCATGAATAAATAAATAAATAAATAAACAAAGAAATAAAAAAAAAAGAGATTTAACATTTTATTTGAAAGAGAAACGTCATGAGTTTTAACTTTTATAGCCGTTTCTCCTTTACTGGCACCACATATTTTGGGAACAAGATCTGACGTGGTTTTAGTAATTATTTCTTTTTGAGAATATGCAACCGTTTCTTCTGTGTATTTGATCTTACTGAAAGGGCAGTATTGGAAAGAGCTGTGAAGGCATGCTCGAAATTTTAAAGCATTTTGCCAGCGTTGTCTTCTTACAACTCAGACACGCTAGTCTCAGAACAACTTTACAAGTCGCTCTTTTTTATTCAATTAAATAAATAATAGTTAGTAACTGCTGACTCCAAAGAAATCAAATAAACATAAATTTATATCAGTTGTTTCTACTGGAAGAAATAATTTTAACTTCATATATGAACAGTGCGTGTTTTGTGTATTTTCAAGGAGTATTTATATAAAATTTCCATTCGTATGAAATGGCTGAGACTACACCATGTTACAGAATTGAGGAAGTGCCACAGAACGTTCTACATTGAGAGATTTAATGCCACTAATGTGTACCATGGATATAGAGATAGTCAATTTCTCTGAAACGTTGGTAACAACCTACGACACTATACGGTGTCATAACCCGGATAAACACGACCAAGCCTTAAACCTTCACCGCTGTGGAAGCCTCAGATGTTAATTTTTTACCAATTAGAGCAATTCAATCGAAGTCTAACCAATACACATCCAAATTACGAGCAGAAATAAATATTTTAAATGTGCAATGTGCAATATCTATTATTCTGTAACAAACTGTTACACTCTGAATACAAATAAATAACCTTACGATCTTCTGATCCTTGCTTCTGTCAACAGAAGAATATGCTCTTTTTTATTATTATTACTATAACGGGTCTTCAGAACGTATCATGATGTAACATAACCTCAACTAACAATGTCAGCTATTACAGTGAGGTATCCAGAACGTATCAAGATGTAACATAACCTCAAATTACAATATCAGCCATTGCAGTGAGGTATCCAGAACGTATCAAGATGTAATAACCTCAAATTACAAAGTCACTCATTACAATGAGGCCTCCAGAACGTATCAAGATGTATGAAAGTATGAGGGGTAGGCCTTCTCGGCCCTTGCACCGCGACCTACAGTGGTCTATTGTGCTTTATCAAGATGTAATATAAACTCAACTAACAATGTCAGCCATTAGAGTGAGGTCTCCAGAACATATCAAGATGTAACATAACCTCAACTAACAATGTCAGTCATTACAGTGAGGTCTCCAGAACGTATTAAGATGTAACATAACCTCAAATGACAATGTCAGCCACTACTATGAAAACCTACAACACATATATATGGCAACACAGATATAGATAATATACAACATTAAAATTTACAAACACACACTGAAAAGTGGAAAATCACTTGCACCAATTTTATTACGTATAAAATTCGCGTTGATATTTCATTTGGTGTTTATATCCAGGAAAATATTCAACGCTACTCTTTGTGAAAACAGAGAAAACATTTGTGCCACAAATTATAACATTTTATGAGTTCGCCATTAAAATGCGATTTCCTCTATGTTATAGATTGTATAACGTCGCATTTCTGTCCACCAAAACGTCATTATCTGGCTGTAAATATCTTTAGAGATATTCCCTAACATTTAGTAAAAACAGAAACATTCCGACGTTACAGAGAAAGATATTTCGTAATTTATCTGAGAGCCGCGATAGCGCAGTCGGTATAGTAACTGGCTACGGGCTGGACGACAGAGGGGTCGGAGTTCGACTCCTGATAGGGTCAAGAATTTTGTCTTCTCCACGTCTTTCAGACCGTTCCTGGGGTCCACCCGACCTCCTATCCAATGGGTACCGGGGCTCTTTCCCTGGGGGTAAAGCGGTCGGGACGTGAAACTGACCACTCACCTCCAGCTAGTGCCGACGTCAAGAAAATGTGGATCTATATATTCACTCCCCTATACGCCTTCATGGCATGGTGCTTAATTAGTTAAGCATATGGACAACTTAAATGTTTTTACGTTTATCGTAAATTAATATTTTGAGGCACCTGTGGTCCAGTCACTGAATGAAATTTCGAGCAGTGAATAAACTATGAAGGCGGGATTATTTATAATAGGGTCCCAGGCTCTTTCTCGCCTGTTGGCTTACTATTAATTATTTTCAGTTATGAAATAAGATTACACGATTTATTGCAATTTTAAAGGGTGGTTTTCTTTAGCATATCCACTGTCATCAGCAGGGCCCGGATTTTGAGACCTGAAAATATTTAAAAAATGACCGAAAAAATCCAGAAAAATTACCTAAAATATGACCCAAAAATGTAATATGCAGGGCCCGGATTTTGATGGCCTGAAAATGTTAAAAAAATTACCTATAAAATGACCGAAAAAATCAATAAAAATGACCTAAAGGAGAAGAGAAAGAACACTTCGCTTCCATGTTATTCACATTTCAGAAAATATATGAAGAAAAATTCCCTAAAATGGCCAAAAATGACAAGAAATACCCTTAAAAGTCCAAAAATGTAACAAAAAATTACTCCCAAAATGAAAAAATGACCTTAAACCTAAAAATGTCAAAAAATTACCTATAAAATTTACATTTCTGTAACCAGCAGCTCATATCCGAGATTTATATATTTAAGAGCATCGCATAGGATACAAGGAAAAAAAGATGACATGTCATCAAAATCCTGGCCCTGGTCATCAGACTACCAAGGAGTTAGGCCATTTTTGATCCTTTACAGCCTCAATTTTCTGCTAACCTCTTCAACTGTCGGATCTAAACGACCATAAAACAGTGAATAAAAATTTACGATTATAATTTGTTCTCAGAACATTAGAGGTGTAGGCATTAAAGGCGATTAACCGAATGGCAGAAAGAGAAGAACTGAACTCAAGACTTTAATCATTCTATACTTACACATTTGTTATAGACCGTTCCGGCTATTAGGTAACTGTAAGTAAGTAAGTAAAGCTGTCCCTGTAACAGGCGGTGGAGGCCCATAGGGTTGTGAGACGTCGAGGCTCCCACATTCTCTAGACAACCGGCTCAAAGATGGCGGTAAGGTTGTCAGCCTTACGCGCCGGCCGCTCTTTACCCCCAAGAATATTCCTGGTGCTCATTTCTGTTAGAGGCTGAGTCGACCACAGGGCCATAGTGCGGCTGGAAGGATTATGGCAACTGAAAAAATCCAATGACCTAGTCGGGACTTGAACCAGCGACCTTCCGATTTTCCGAATACATACAGATTTAAATAGATATAATACAAATATCATTAAGATTCTGTAGTTTTGATAGTTTCGTTGGAATGTAATTAGTATGTCTGTATTTGCAAATGGGCTTTCTACATTGTTCCGTTCTGATATTTACCATAAGAAGCTGTAGCATTGATAGGAACTATTAATGGAAATTGCCGCGTTGTATATTGATTTTAATGAGAACACGCAGCCTTTGCGACATCTATGAATAAAACTTGGAAATAAATATGGAGGACAGAAGAGAGGATCTGTTCGCTACAGAAACGCATTCTTCAATTAAATAACTTTCTCCCTACTTCAAGTGGATGTAAATCGCATTTTATGACTTCCATTTTTTTTTTCTTATCAGTTACTTCATTTTCATTATTCTATTGGCACGAGAATGTAAATTTTTCCTTCTACTTCATTTGTGCATTTGATTGAGAAGACGGTTAAATTTGAATTTAAAATGTCATTGCTTTTTCATACGCACTGCACCCTTCTTTTACTATTATTTTTATTCGTTTCTTAAATCTATTTATTTTACTGCCTTGTCATTCATAACGTCTTCCTTTTTAGGATGATTTTACCGATGACTGGGCAGAAATTAAACGGAATACATAATGTCTAAAGCTTTTCCTCCACTGGACAAAAGAAGAAGAAGAAGGGCGGTTCCCTGCTGTAGGAAATTCCTCCACGCCCTTCCTTTAAAACTCTCTTACTTCCATTTTTTCTTTTGTAATGTTTGTGACCTTAGAATGTTTGTCAGTTACACAGTAACTTAACAAATTCTTTTAGCACGGAAAAGAAAATTACTGTATTTAATCTCTATTTATATGTGCGAACTACAAAACTGAACACTGAAATGTCCGTACCTGTGACGCAATTACACTGGACCATAATTACTGAGTCCCTCAGAAGCTGCGAGGTGTTGCCCCTGTAGGGCCACTACCACCTTCACACCACGCTCCTCTTCTAGGGTACAATCAGAGTCCATATGCGTCGCAACATCGCTTGTGGCCATCATGGCAGGTCTCTGCTGTCATACATGACTCAGCGGTTGACTCTGTTGTTGATGATGATGAAAATGATGTTGACTTGATGACTGGAGACTCCCCGGTGCTGCAGTTGTAATGTGAGGCCCTGACAAGAGGGTGCTGCTTGGTGCAGCTCCTGCTGACGTCACGTAGTGTTTCATGGCAGCGCGTTGTTTGCTAGCCGTCGGATTGATGAGCACAGCACCAGGCTCGCCACTGACCCCAAACAGTCTCCTCGAAAGCCGTCTCCATGAGTCTAACGTCTTCCCTGACCAGATCCATACCCCTGAAGTGATACCAACCGCTAATGCCATAAAGTATTTGAGCATGAGGACTGAATATAGGGGTCTTAACCTCGAGCGAGGCCCCATCGCTTCACACGGACACACCAAAGGGTTCATCCACTCTGCGTGTAAAGCCGTTTCGTAAAGGTGACATCCTATCACAACTGTAGCTGGCACTGTGTATAGAACACTGAAAATTCCAATTCTTATCATTAATTTCTCTAACTTATCAGCCTTGCTTCGTCCCCCGATACCTCCCTGCTGCTTTATGACGTTCCGAATACGAAATAAAGATACGAATCCCCCGAGAAGAAAGGACGTTCCGACTAGAAGATACACCACGAGAGGTGCAAGGACAAAGCCTCTCAGATTGTCCGTGTTCTGGTTGCCGACGTAGCATATGCCGGCCACAGGATCACCATCTACGGCAGCGGTGATGAGGACGGCCACTGATTTCACCGTGGGGATGAGCCAAGCCGCCAGATGGAAGTATTGTGAGTATCCGGCAATTGCCTCATTGCCCCACTTGAGTCCCGCCGCCAGAAACCACGTGAAGGACAGGACGACCCACCTGCGCATGTGCAAATTAACAGTAAGCATTAGCGGATATCAGACAAGGGGAGGTCCTCCAGTTTAGAATTCTCTAGGACGATCTAAGTAACAAAAATAAGACAGTATATTTGGAATTTTGAAAGTAAGTTATTCCTTACTGACATAAGGCGGCGCCATAGCTGAGGCGCTTAGTCGCCGGCTTCTCACCCCGGCAGTCCGGGTTCGAGCCCGGGTCAAGTCATGTGGGATTTGTGGTGGAGAAAGTGACGTTGGGGTAAGTTTTCTCCGAGTACTTCGGTTTCCCCTGCCAATTCTCATTCCACCGACAGCTCCACAGTCACCACCATCTATAATGTGGGGCGGGTAAAATAGGCCAGTACTGGCAGAAGTAGCAAGTGGACTTAGTCTCACCCCACTAAGAATAATAATAACAATAACCTTACTGACATTATCAAATAATAACGGGCACTTCAAGCAAATACTGCCCGTAATTCTGAAATACACGTATATATGTGTTCGTATCACAGAAAGGATTTATATGGCTCCGAAGAGGGAATGGGTGTTGCTGTAACACGCGTACCATATAGAGGAGGCCATGCCGAAGAAGTAGACGAGCAGGAAGACCATGGTGCATGTCACGGGTCCGGTGGAGCTGTAACGGATCATACTGCCCTCGCAGGCGACCTCCTCATGACCCAGGATGACCCGCACTAGATAACCGATGCTGACCATGAAGTAACAGGCCGACAGGAATACGATTGGCCTCTCCGGGTACTTGAAACGCTCGGTGTCAATGAGGAAGGTCGTCAGAGTCATCAGCGTGGACACGAAGCAGAGACCAGACCACAGCGTTATCCAGACCTGCAACAGGACCCATTCTACTGTGATGCGTGGAACGTAGTGCAAGGAACTGCGGCAAAAAGAACTAAAGTACAAGGGCTGCAGTGCATGCAACTACAGCGCAGGTTACTGTGGTACAAGGAACTATAGCTCTTGGACTGCTAGTGCATCGGACTGTAATGCAAAGTACTGGGATACACGGAACTGCAGTACAAGGACTGAAGTGCATGGGACTNGGAACTAAAGTACAAGGACTGCAGTGCATGGGACTCTAATGCAAGGTACTGGGATACAAGGAACTACAGTACACAGACTGAAGTGCATGGAACTGTAATGCAAAGTACTGCGATACAAGGAACTACAGTACAAGGACTGAAGTGCATGGAACTGTAATGTAAAGTACTGCGATACAAGGAACTACAGTACAAGGACTGAAGCGCATGAAACTGTAATGCAAGGTACTGCGATACAAGGAACTACAGTACAAGGACTGAAGTGCATGGAACTGTAATGCAAGGTACTGTGATACAAGGAACTACAGTACAAGGGCTGCAGTGCATGCAACTACAGCGCAGGTTACTGTGGTACAAGGAACTACAGTACAAGGACTGAAGTGCATGGAACTGTGATACAACGAACTGTGACGCACGGAACGCCTACGAACTTCTGTGGGACTACACGGTGTTACATCCCAATAGCCATCTTAAACACTATAAATTTCGTCAGAAAATCGGAAAAGCCTACGTGTGTCGCTGTCCTAACATTTCTCTGTAAATGGGTCAATAAAAACCGTCCTTGCGCGTAATTGATTAAGCACCACACTGTGAAGGTGTATGCGGGCGTGGAATTATAACCCCATTATTCTTGATCTCTGGACTAGATGGCCGTGAGTGGTCCACTTCACGTCCCGGCCGCTTAACCCTGGGAAACAGGTCCCGGTACAGGTGGAGACATGGACCTTACGAAGACGATAATAATCTCTTGTTCTTGCCGGGAATCGAAACCGTCTCTCGTTATACCGACTGAGCTGTAGTCGTTTTAATGTAAATTAATGATGTTACGTGTACAAATTTTCATATTTTAAAACGGACAACTCTTTAGCAGGATGCGAGTGTAAGGTAAAGTTGTCCCTGTGCCTAACTAATTAAGCGCCATGAAGGCGTATGGGGGAGTGGATGTATAGATCCACATTTTCTTGATCTCGGCACTAGCTGAAAGTGAGTGGTCAGTTTCACGCCCCGACCGCTTTACCTCCGGAGAAAGAGCCCCCGGTGCCCATTGGATAGGAGGTTGGGTGGGGCCCAGAAGAGAAAATTATTGACACTACCGGGACTCGAACTCCGACACCTCAGTCGTCCAGCCCATAACCAATCGCTATACCGATTACGCGAACCCGGCTCATAATAAGATGCGAAGATGAAGTGAAACTCTAAAATCAAAACAAATGATTACTCACCGATGCGAAATCCTTCTCCTCTTGCGAAAAGAAAGCTCCACGGCATGGGAAGGCGCAATTCTGGACTTTTCCAACTGAGACACTCCTATTGAACCACTCCGAGTCCCTACCCAAAGTAATTAGGGGTGGCCTACACCTGCATTCGCATTCTTTATTTTTGGGAGGCACCACGCTTTCCGGGCATCCCTTCTTCCCTGGCTTGCACCCTGGAGTAGGCTTGCGCGTCGGCCTCACCGTGGTCGTAGAACTAGAATCTGTTCTATTATTCTGTTCCATGCAGAGATTATTGGGGTCTCCATGCACCGGAAACTTCTCACATGCCATTCTCTCTGGCCACTGGAAGCCATATTGTTTCATAATGGGCACACAACCGTTCCTGGCCCTCTCGCAAACACTTCTACAAGCTGGCAATGGTTTCAGGTAGTCTTCTATACAAATCGGGGCGTACATGGAGCACAGAAAGAATTTCAGGTCTGGTGAACAGTGAATCTCCACTAGAGGCCAAAACTGATGAACTTCAAGCCCGGCTTCCTCCTGCGTGTCGTGATTCAACTCGTTAGGCATTGACGTCATATTGTACCCGATTCCTCTGCACATTGGGATAGTAATTTCCTCGCATCTTAATGGCGTAACTGCCCCAGCTGACGAAGATGATAAAGTTGATGCTCCGATGTTGCTGCCACTGCTAGCGCCACTGCTTCCGCTATTAGTGGCGGCACTTCCTGTTCCGGTTGTCTTCTCAGCTGCGCTGCCATTTTGTATCATCGTTAAAATGAATATAATAGGCAATAGGTACCAATCACGACACATCGTGTGAAAACTAGAGCATCAGTGCCTGTAAGGCTACAAGGACTGCATATTCTACTAGCGCACTTTATTGGTTCTTTGAAATCTTGGTGAAATGGGACTAGTCACTGCCCATAATACTGCAAGAACTGCTTATATGAATAATCCATTTTCTTGTTTCTTTTAAAAATTTACAGTTCTGAACTGCACTAAAGTTATTTCTCCTACAGTCAGTCACTATTTGATACATGGAAACCACAAAATGAATATTTTTAGATCGCCTTTTCTCTCAGTTCATTGATTTTCTTGCGGAAATAAAAATGTTGACATTGTTTTGTTGTCGAAACCTGTATTTGTATAAATTTCTGTATTTTCATTGGGTCACAGGTATGCTATCCAAACGAAGACTTAACAGTTTACTTGATAACAACAGAATGTTCGCTTTTATTCCGAAGTTTTGTTTCTGTAAAACAATAATATTCAGCCACTTTAACAAACCGAATATTTTGCCTTGCAAATTAATCTGGACGCGATTCAATTGTATGCGGAAGAGAATATATTTACTGAACGTATCCTTGTCCATGAATTAGTAAGTTTCTCTTAAATAAAGTGTCCTTTGTTGTACAGGAACAGAGGTTGGCGTCTCTCCTTTGTTTTACCCACATTCCTGCAAGGTCGAGAAATTGACATCTTTTGTCTCTTTATTTCTGACCACTCCATGTTTCCATTCTCCTTAACGAAGTTGTCATTGTCAAAAAGATGCTTGGTACAAATCGCCTGCAATTTACCGTTGTTCTCATTTCATATTTCTGAGAACTACATTATAAGCTGAAATGGCGAAAACGTGTTTGTCTGTCTGTCAGGCAGCTTTCTAGACACTCACTGCACAGATGGTGGTTGTTTCCTGGAAAAGAAAGAAAAATATTGTAAGTTAAAATAAGAATGAAAACGTCATGAATTAAGCTAACACATGTAAAATTTTCCTTATACTTAATTTACCCTTTGAAGCCTAATAATTACTAATATTACCACCCTCTTTTAACATATTAAAACTCTGCATTCTGCTCACAGAGTGTATCTGTGTGTTCCATATGGTTCTCACAATAAACAGCGACTGTTTCCCTACACAGCATTAACCGGTTGGGCTTTGTAACGGAGACGTAATGTGTTTCCTGTGAGGTACGGACTGAATTGCTATATATTCTGCCCACACAGTGTATCTGTGTGTTCAGTATGGTTCCCACAATAAACAGCAACTGTTTCCCTAAACAGCATTAACCGGTTGGGCTTTGTAGCGGAGACGTAATATGTTTTCTGTGAGTTACGGACTGAATTGCTATATATTCTGCCCACACAGTGTATCTGTGTGTTCCGTATGGTTCTCACAATAAACAGAGACTGTTTCCTTAAACAGCATTATCCGGTTGGTCTCTGTAGCGGGAATGTATAAAGCTTTAGGAGAGTTTCTTTTCTTGCTCTACCTCTGAATATTCTTTTAATTGTGGCACACACATACAGAAAAATACAAAAGAAAATATCACTGCTAGTATCACATTTTTGAGGACTGCTTTTAATGTGACCGCCTCTGTAGTCTAATGGTCAGAGTTCCTGGCTACAGATCCAGAGGTCCCGGGTTCGATTCCCGGCGCTATCAGATCTTCTGAGAAGTAGTGGTTCTGGAACGGGGTCCACTCAGCCTCGTGATGTTAACTGATGAGATATTTCGAGGAAATAGTGGCTTCGGTCTAGAAAACCGAGATTAACGGCCTTGGGGATTCGTTGCGTTGACCACGCGACACCCTCTATCCGCTGAAGTTGGCACTAAATTCGCCGACAAGCGGCGGTCGCTCGGTCGGTATAGTTCGCTTGCGGACTACAAGCCACTGAGATTTGTAATGTGCTAAAAGGCGTTTAACTTCACGTACTTTTCGATTTACATCGCGCCCCACAGGTTGAGTGGCGCTGCAGTAGCGTAGGCCAGACGCCAAGTGTGCGACATTCCATCTCTCACTTATTCTTTCTTATTGGATACCCCACATGTACCTTTCTCGCAATTTGAAACAGAGAGACAAAGACGTAATAAATATAATCTGTAGACTTGTACCCTGCTTTCCTTCCTCCAACATATTACACTCTACGCCACTGCGAATATGAGTAGTCGGCAATGCGGGAGTCTAGTAGCAACCTCCGAAAATGACATCATCACCCCCCTGCGATGTGTCAGGAAATTGATTGGTTTAGGGGTGAGGTTTCCTCGTGTCAGTATAGTGGGAACGGATTTCGTATTAAGTAAATAAACGAACCTTCAAACCTTCTGTCCCGAACTCAATAAACTACCCTTTCTCTCTCACCCCTGTGTTGGTGGTAGAGTAGGCGTGACGTCGGATCCGAAATCATCCAATCTTTGTGAACGATCACGTCCCGTGCTCAAGCTTACAGCAGGAATAGGAAAATTACGGAAGCTGTTTGTCCAGTAATTAGAAATCAGAATTGTCTTGAAGAGAGACATCCTCTGGGATGTGATGATGTGAAGTACAGTAGATGTTTAAGTAAGTTTCGCAGGGAAGTGCTGCTTGAGAACTCAGAATCCTGGTATGGCCACCTATGCCACATAGATCAAATGGTAGAGGCCAGACAAAATGTAGTCCCTGGTGTTCTAAATTGGGGGTTGGGCGTGGGGCTAGAGACACCACCCCGGATAAATCTACTGTTACGAAAACATGGAGGAGGCCAAGACCCACACAGGGTTGCGCGGCCAGAAAAGAATAAGGAGGAGGAGTAGAAGAATGAGGAGGAAGAGGGGAAGGAGTTTGAGAAGAATAAAAAGAATGAGCAGGATGAGGAGGAGGGGGGTAAAAGAATGAAGATGAGGAGAAATAGGAGGAGTAGAAGGATAAGAAGAATGAAGAGGAGGAGGAAGAGGGAATGAGGAGGAGATGGACAATGAGTAGACGGAGAAGNTGAGTAGGAGAAGAATGAAGAGAAGATTGAGGAGAAATAGGAGTAGAAGAATAAGAAGAATGAAGATAAGGGGGAAGAAGGAATGAGGAGGAGATGGAGAGGAATGAGAACTAGGAGTAGAAGGAGAAGAATGAAGAGGAGGAAGATGGAATGAGGAGATGGAGAAGAATGAAGAGGATGAGAAGAGGGAATGAGGAGATGGAGAAGAATGAGTAGAAGGAGAAGAATGAAGAGGAGGAGGAAGAGGAGAAGAATGAGGAGAAGCAGGAGTAGTAGAAGGATCAGAAGAATGAAGAGGATGGGGAAGAGGGAATGAGGAGGAGATGGAGAAGAATGAGAAGTAGGAGTAGAAGGAGAAGAATGAAGAGGAGGAGGAGGAGGAAGAGTTGCAGCAGACCGACAAAACTTAATAACGACCGTACAAACATCACACCACTTCTGTTCTCAAAGCAAGAATCAATAGACATGCCAATTGTACCCACGGCAATGGGAAGAGCCAATGGCCGAGCGCTACAGTCAGCGATGGCCTTGAACTAGGGTTCGTTGTCATTAGGGTTAAGTAGAAATCGACGTTTGGGCTTGAAACCCTTGTCAAAGTTATAACAATAAAACCGCAAGTGTTCATGGGACTGACAGGACGGGCTCTAGGATTGACATCTGGACAGTCCAACAGGACAAAGAGACTCCCCATATGTCACAGAGCGCCCACGGGATGAGCAGTCGCCTCATTCTCGTTCCATGCGTACTGCATGCCCTGCCCATTCCATCCACCTTGTTGTTGTTGTTGCTGTTGAATCTACGGATCTCGCACTATCCAGGTTATAAACGTCAAATGGCAGGACGACGGACGAAAGGAGTGGACAGAATTTTAAAGAAACCACTGGTGGCCTAATGGCCAGTGGATGGGCTGAGGTAACGGTAAAGTTGTCCCTGTGTTTAACTAATTAAGCACTACGCCATGAAGGCGTATGGGGGGGTGGATGTGTAGATCCACGTTTTCTTGACCTCGTCACTATTTGTAGGTGAGTGGTCAGCTTCACGCTCCGCCCGTATTAGCCCCCGGCCGTGGAAAGGGCCCGGTACCCAATGGAAAGGAGGCTGGGTGGGCCCCAGAGCTGTCTGGACGACGTGGAGAAGAGAAAATTCTTGACCCTACAGAGACTCGAACTCCGACGCCTCAGCTGTCCAACCAGTAGCTAGTCGCTCTACCGACTGCACTATCCCGGCTCCCAAAAGGACTGAGGAAAACAACGAAATACATCAGTCAGGATAGCCTGTGGCCGAGCCGAGATTCGAACAAAGCACTTCCTGAACACGAAACTAGAATGCTAACGCTAATCCAATCTGCTTTCTATCCGTTTCGATTTAATCGCATGAAGAACGTAATGTGAAAATAATATATCCTGAAGTTGGAGGCAGCAAGTTACTCCGAAGCGGTGTTAACCAACAGCTTACACGAAGTGACATCACAAGAAGACATAATCTTCAGACACAGCCTTGAGAGTACCGAATCTTGTGCAACATAACCTCATAAACGTGATAAATGTGAAGTCATAAGTTCCTTTGTACAGTCCCTAGTCTTACGGCGTTTATTGCTTAATATCTTCCTAAGTGTCCTGGTCTTAGAGTCGCGCCATAGCTCAAGCGGTTAGTCGCTGGCTTCCCACCGCGGCGGCCCGGGTTCTGGTCAAGTGGGATTTGTGGTGGACAAAGTGGCGCTGGGGCAGGTTTTCTCCGAGTACTTCGGTTTCCCCTGCCAATCTTCATTCCACCAATTGCTCCACAATCACCCTCACCTATCATCTGGGGCTGGTACAATAGGCCAGAAGTGGCCGCAGTACAAGGGACTTAGTCCCACCCCAAAAGCATTACAAAACTGTCCTGGTCAATTGGGTAGCGGTCCTGCCTCGAATTGGGCAGATCCCGGCTTTAGATCTCAGGTGACGGACTGTCGTGACAATATTTTTGGTTTTCCTTACTCAGTCCAAAAGAAGTCACAGCAGAACCTCGAGTTGGACCACAATCTCTTCACTTCACATCCCTTCTATGTACGTACGTTCGTTACTGTCTTTCAATTTTTCGGTAATGCACAGCCTCATACACCAATAGCGTTATCAAAAAAGCTGAAGTTATTCCTAAATTTAATTAATTAATCACTACGCCAAGAAGACGTATGGTATAATTCCAACGTTCTTAACTTCGGCACTAGATTGGGTGGTCAGCTTCAAGCCCCTCCCTCTTTAACCTCAGGGAAACAGACCTCGGTTTCCAATTGTATAGGAGATTTGTGCGCCTCAGAGCGGGTCTGAAAGTTATAGGGAAGAGACAGAGAGATCTCTTGCCCCTGCCGTGAATCGAACCCCTGATCCTCGATCCTCAAGCCTGTATCCTAGTCGCTATTCGTACTGAGCTATCCCGGCTCCCCAAACAAATTAAAAAACGAGTTTCAATATAAATAATATAATCATTACTGTCTTCTGTAACAGCTTTAATTTCCTCAGCTTTCTGTAATTCACGGTACTCCAACGGAAGTCCCTGTACGAAGGGCAGGATAGCGTTCCTCGGGATAGCTGTAGTACAATAGAACCTTGTACTGCACAAGAAACGGAAATGTCTTTTGATGGGATAGAGGTAAATTCCTGAAATAAATATATTTACAATTTCATTAGAAATTAACGGCCGTGGGGATTCGTTCCGCTGACCACGCGACACCCTCTATCCCCTAAAGTTGACACTAACTTCGCCGACAAGCGGCGGTCGCTCGGTCGGTCAGTATAGTTCGCTTGCGGACTAAAACCACGGAGATTTTTTTGTTCCATTATAGCCGGGATATCACTGTCGGTTCAGCGACTAGTTACGGGCTGGTCGACCAAGGGATCGGATTTCGAGTCCCGGCAGGGTAAAAAAATTTCTCTTTTCCACGTCGTCCAGATCGGCTCTGGG